AGACCTCATTATTCAGCTGCAAAAAAACCCGGAGCGGACGCGGTTTTAATAATCAGACAGTATGTCATTAGCGCAAATCGCCATCACATTGCAGCGAAATCAGCTCCGTTTGAAACACTTAAATTGAAGGTAAGGGTGATCTGTGCCAAGGACTGTGTTCCATCTCAGACCTTTCATCCTTTCCTTGCGCTGAACAAAGACAGCAACGTCCAATGAGTCCAGTGCGTTGCGACCGCTTCCACTATTTAATCCTGACATGAAATTGCTGCTAATGGGCACACACTGCCCTTCTTTACCCCTTTTCCTTTCTCTTTGCTTTCATCTCTCTCTCTCTCTCTTTTTTTTTCCATCCACTCTCAATTTTGATGTTGAAACTGTACAAATTGAACACCCCCCCCTTCCCTCCCCCATTTTTACTTCAGGAAATCACCAAGCGAGAAGAAGCGAGTGGGCAGTTAAGCTGTATTCAGCTGCCTGTCGACTCGTCGGTGGTACGTAAGAATGAACAGCATGAACACCCCCCCCGATGCCGTCTGGTAGTTGTCTCTTTCTGTGGTGACTGGTCACACACCATGATGCTGTTCTCATTGTAGTAGCCGTCATTACTTTTTTTGTTGTTGTTGTTGTTGTCAAGTCAGCCTTGATTTTAAGTCCCTTCCTTCTTTGTGGAGTCAGATGAGTTAATGCAGAGACCCTGTCACCCAAAACCTGCCCGACTTTCCTGCCTATGTCGGCTCTTTTGCTTTGACCCTCTCCATGAAGGAGAGCTTGCAAATGGCTCTTTCAACAGCCGCTCACCAACCCAAGCATTTGGATTGCACGTGCTTCCCGGGAGAGGTGTGGAGGGGGGCGATGTTTTATGGGCAAGTGTGTCGAATACTTCCCTTCTTACACGTGCTGCTCCTTGTTTCTTCTGAAGACCCATCCGCTCATGCACATCAACTCCAGCCCCTCTAATTGCGGGGGACAAAGCAGAGACAACTGCCAAAGACTGAAGGGACCTAGAATCAAGCATGTTCATGGACACTTGTGTGTAACGGCACTGTGTTCTGGAGAAGTCGATACTAGCACTGAGGCAGCGGCAAGGCCCACCGACAGATCAACCAGATGCTGTGGTCCAGCTGCTGAATGGCTCTGGCCTGTGTTATGTAGGAGATGGTCACGGTCCCTCTCGACCTTTCCATTCATGAATCTATTCAATCAAATGAACCCAACCGTGCCTCCTCTGCCCATTCACCCCCCTCCCTCCTCAGACATCTTTCTCTCTTTTTTTTTCTCACTCCCTTTCTTTTCTGTCCTTTCCTAGAACCTCTGCCTTATACCTTAGCACAAACGCCCTTTGTATTGTATTCAGGCACATCCTCTTGCCTTCTGTACATGTTGGCTTATCCATGGTGCCATATGGTCCACCTCGGCATACTCTAATTGTTCACAAGGTTTTTAACTCCATGTTCTCTCATCAACCCTTTTCCATCCAGAAAGGCAAGCTGGGACCACATGAACAGGTAACAGCCACAGGCCCCTGCCATGAGATGCTTGCTTGTAGCCATCCTTCACATGGCCCTTGTCCTCTTAAAGGGTGATGGTGTTTTCTTCTACAGCAGGGGCGCTTCCCGTCTGAAAGAGATGGGGTTTGGTGCTGGGTGGGTGGAGAACAGAAAACCTCCTTTGGTCCTGCTTGGCCATATTCCTGTGCATTTCTAACAGCACCTGGTGTTATCCCCTGGATGGTTACCGAATGTTTCAGGAATGCAACTTAAACCAGGCAAACTAGTCCCACTATTTATTAGTTTTTAATAACCCATTCAAGAAAAGGGAGTAATTACTGGCAGGCCTGCTGACCGGAAAGAATTGGGAGGCTTTCCGGAAGGGAAGGCCTGAAGCCAGCTGGAGTCCACGTTCCACCGAAGAGACTGAGTTTGGAAAAACTGCCAAAATTCCAGCCAGTATTCATTGAATATTCTTGCTCAGAAGGCATAGCCCTAACACTTGAAAACTTTGCCTGTCCTGCAGGGTGGATTTCCTCAAATAACACAAGGATCCTGCAGGACAAGAAGACATTTTGCATGCAAGGGCTGTTTTTTCATTCCTTCTCTCTTGCCCTAATGGCATTTCTCTGAGAGCCCATGGTCTGAGTGGAAAAAAGCATACCTATTTAGCAGGACCAAAGGAGGAGTGTGGTCCTCTGAGAAATTGGGCCCGATCCTTGATTCTTTAGTCAGGCAATGCTCCTGTGGCTTTCAAGGTGGGTTTTGCCTGAATTAAGGAGTACCATCCTGGGTCCTGTATTGCATATCACCTCCTGCAGTCTGCTACTTTAGCACTTTCCTCTTGGTTGGGGCCTTCGACTACCAAGTCTCTCTCCAAGCACCAAACTTCATCGGGGCTCTTAGTAGCACAGCTTGGTGTTCACTGTAGATGTTGGGGTCTCTTATGAACCTAAATTTTTCCTGGCTAAGGTAAGAGTCTGCTTGGCTTCTCTCCTGTCGCTGCATTGACCTACCCACCCACCTTCCCACCTTCCCTGCAGTATACATCGTACCAATGGATGGTGTCCTCTGCCAGAATAGTGGCTTCATCAGAAAAGCCACCCCTCTTCAGATGAAAATAATTCTGGCAAGCTCCATTTCCAGCTGATGTATTCTGATTACACCACACCCCATGTGCCTTTCCTCAGTGCCAATGGACAGAATGGAAGAGGGCTGGGCAGGGAAGGCCTTGACTGGGTCTGTATAAGTAGTCAGTAATTCCTGAGTTGCGGATTTGACAGAGCACGACAAACAAGGGAAATAATAAGTGATGGTGGTAAAACTTGTAACGCAGCTTTGGAGACGGGCTCAAGGTGGCTCGTGGATACGTTGCTGGTGTCAAGTCATCATCAGAATGGGAGATCCAACCACCGGCATACTGAATTGTTCAGTGGGATCCAAGTAAGCCCCCTAAATAAATGCATCTGTTGTATTTTATAGCATTGAGATAAATAGCCATAATGGCTATTTATCCCCTAGTCATATTTTATCAGGTTGTCCTTCATTGGATCTCCAAGTGCTCCTAGGGCATTCTGAACCATTTCAGAGGCATGCATCCATTATCTGCTGAGTTCTGTAGGCCAAATCCTTTATGCCCCTTGCTGAAGTTTGGATCATTTCATCTAAACTTCAGTGAAAAGAGTCGCGTGAGTGCCTGCCTGTCTGTAATGGGTTCTAATCGGCGACGTTGGTGTCGAGAACAGATGAGGATTCGGTTTTCATCCAGTGGGCTGTTCACTAGATCTATGTCCTTTCCCTAGTGTCTGTCCAGTGTGGAACTGCAGCAGCAAAAGCTAAGTTATCTTTCTTTGCCTCTGCCTCCTGGCTGCTTTCAGAGGCGGCAAATCTACCCTTTAGGAGTGTAGTTCTGTGGTATAAATATGTGCATGCCTCATTCTGTGGAAGGTGATGTCCCATTGTGGTACCAGTTCCAGTGGATCACTAGGTGTGGTGTTGGAGATGGGATCCAGTGTTCGGCAGGGGTGTCCCGGCTGCACATTGTCATTTATCCCAGTCGCTAAGCTCCTGTGTTTTGCTCTAGGGAGATGCGTCTAAGTCTGATTCTGAGGGGGATGTTTTCCCCCCAAGCCTGGAAGAAGAGGGTGGACTTAAGAAACACTTGTCAAACCCAGCCTGTAAGTAACAGCACTGGCGACCAGCCTTTCTAGGGCAATGTCACTTTGGTATGAAAAATCATGTGTCCAGGAAAGTAAAGCTTATCTTAGGGGAGTGTTTGAGAAGTAACGAGGCCCCTCCTGACTCCATGAAGCTACAGTGGACTTGCGTTACAGGTCACAAATGAAAGGCAAAGAGATGCAGTAGTATTAGAGACCATTATCTCCCAGTAAAACTGAAGATCCAGCTTTAATGCTATATAAAATATAGTATGTGCAGTTGATAATGAGAGAGAGCAACAGCAGAGAGCTGCTGCGTGCAGTTACTTCCCGGACGGTTGCCACATCTGTGATGCTCAGACAGGGCAGAGGGAGTGGTCGAAATGACCTTGCAGTAAGGGAGGTTTCTTGCCTGCAAGATAGAGGATTGCAGGAGCTGATAGGAAAAGAAATGGGGAGTGTCAGAGCTCAGGGGAAGGGGAAGAAACTTGAAGCCAGACAAAATGCTCAGGCAGGGGAAGTGAAGGAGTGTAGATAAAGAAGTAGAGATGGAGAACAGAGTGGGAAGGGTGGGGAAGACGGGGGTGTAAAAGAGCTCTCGGAGAAGGGAAACTTTGGGGAACAAAGCCTGGCAGATTATGAAAGAGCTTTCAGAAATGCAGGGAGTTGGAGAGAGGCCTGTGGCAGATTGGTACTTGCATAGCAACAGATTGGCAATCCCGAGTCTGTGCTTGTACACTTACGTTCCATCAGTTGAATTCGAACCCCCGAGTAATGCAACTTCTGATCCAAAACTTCAACAGAAGCCCCACCTGCCACTCATTCATTAAAAACCTTTTTGGCATTGAATGAAAACCAGCTCCTCTTTGTGATGGCGTTGGCCTCTGTCCTCTCAATGTTCTGATTAGAAAGGGCTCTTGTAGTGTTGCCGCCCATTTAGTCAGCCCCAGCCATGAGATCCATGATTCCTTTTTTGTTCCTAGGGCAGCAGTATCTGATACCTCCTTGTTTCTTCCAGTGATGGCCTTGAGTGACCACCCCGACCTGAAGAAAAGTCTGACTCCACCCCTCATCATACACACAGCTGCCACCCCAATGCCAATGCCAAAGAGTGCCATGTTTGGAGATGCAGCTCAAGGCTATGAGTCTCGCCGGGCCAGCAGCGTCTCCATGGATCCCAGTGCCCACGAATTCAAATCTCCAGTAGGCACATCATTTTCTCTGTTCCCCTTTGTGATTGCTTCATAGATTCATAGATTCATAGATGTTGGGGTCGGAAGGGACCTCAATAGATCATCGAGTCCGACCCCCTGCATAGGCAGGAA